ATGATTTGCTTCAACAATTATGTTCAACAAGAACTTATTCTTTTTCACCCGTTTAGTTGGGCGCCAATGATTTGCTTGACCTTATTTTGTCGGTCCAAACAGGAATCTCGATTTACTGTTGTTGGGTAGCTCGTTTCCAATGGGATGGTGACAAGAAAGTGGCAGACTTACGTTTTGATGATTTTGGGATAATCGGCGAATGGGGGTCCAATTGCTGTCAAATGAATAGACCAGGTTTTGTATTCACAACTTCTTTATTTTCCCCTGCACAATTTGGTTGGGGATTCGCCGGAAGAAATGTGACGGAACCCTTTGCCTTTGACTGAACCAGATACAAGATAAAAAAAAAGAAAAAAGAAAAAAGGCTTTTTACTGATAGCCTTTTTCCTTATGTTTGGGCTCAGTCGATTTCCCTTTATTAGATATGGGTGAATATCGACTAACTGAATGTCGCCAGCTTTTAACCCAGTTTAATTATTTGGTTAAGATTACTTCCGTTCTTGCGAGGGCTGATGCGTGTGGTTCGCTCCGTGTCCAATTCGGGAAAGGAAGAATATTTCCTTAGCCTCGTGGTATGTGACCACCGATTCTTTTATCGTGTGTAAGTGTGTGCATTTCCCTATTGTCACTGTCAATTCGTGCCTATGCCGATATGATGGTTCGTGTCTTGGATAACATTGGTTACGTACATTCATCTGGCAATCCCCCCCATTTTGAAGTTTAGCTTTGACAGTTTTGTTATGTTTACATTTCTTATGATCGTTCTTATGTCTATTATTTGGGCAATAAAAATAATAGATCAATGTATATAGATGCAGCCTTTCCACTTTTCGCCATAAGTACAGTATTGATAACATAGTATGTAGCTGTGCCGAATTTCAGGGTGTTAGTATAAGCAGTTCCAGAGATAAGCGATATGAGAATTTTTGTAAGGGAGGTGTCACGCCACCTTTTCCAAAATCGACCACTTTTCGCAGTAAGTACGGTATTGATAACATACTCATATGAAAATGTGGAAAGCGGCCGTAATTTTAGTCCGATTTCAATAATTTTCAACGTTTTGCTTTTATGTGGCAAGCACAATAACCATACCCAGTTTGGTATAAATTGGTAGAACGGTTACCGAGATAGATATATGTGATCATAAGAGGGCGGTGCCTCGCCCATTTCCCAAAATTTTAACATAAGCGTATTTCTTGGTAAAAGATTGTTGCAAACATCAATTTTGAATAAAATAGCTTTTTTATTTACTGATTTTTCCAAGATTTCGTATTTCCCTAAATGACCGTTATATGGGATGTGGACGTGGTTATTATCCGATTTTAAAAATTGGAAGAAATTGGTGCAGCGGATACCAAGACATACACACCATAAGTGGGCGTGGCTAAGCCCGTTTTGCAAAAGTTTATAATATTCTTATTTTTAGTCTAAAAATTAATGTAAATATTAATTTTGAGTAAATAATCTTCAGTAGTTACTAAAATATCGCAGTTTTCGTATTTCTGTAAATTAGCCTTATATGGGAGGTAGGTGTGGTTATTGTCCGATTTTGCCCATTTTCAATACCATTCGTCCTCGAAAGAAGTGTACGTACAAAGTTTCGTTAAGATATCTCAATTTTTACTCGTGTTCTCGTTTGCACAAACGGACGGACGGACAGATAGTCACCGCTTAATCGATTTCTCTTTACATTCTGATCATTTATGTATAGATTTGGCTATATCTATCTCGTTTCGTTTTGCCTGTTACAAACAACCGTTATGTGAACAAAGTGCGCTCGGGTATAAAAAGACTTACGTTACAAATAGTTTTAAAGCGAAAACACATGGATAATGAAGAGTATAGGAAACTGCTTTATTGTGAGGAAGGCCGAAAATGCTCGAGAAACCCAGATTTCTCCATCTTTTAGCCTGGTGGATTCCGCGGCAAAGAACTTTATGATATTTTGGACATTACCTTAAAAAAACGATGCCGAATTTATTTTCATTAAGAAAGTTAATCACTGATTATTTGGTCGAATACTTTTTTATTAACTTCAAAGTAATAGAAGACAATCGAAAAATGGTGATCTTTAAATATAAACAACCGCTAATTTCATGTTGTACTTTTTTAATTTTCATTAATTTAAAGGTATCTCAGGATTGAGTGAATTTTCATGTTTGAGGGAAGGCAATTCGTGTTAATATTTATATTGTCTGATACCTCAGAATATGAATGACTCAGGTATAATCAAAAATCTGCGAAACCTGAGCAAAAAAAAAAATTTGCCCCTTGTTTTCGTTTTCGGCGGTTTGGGCCATATGCTTTTAATTGTTTACACTTTATATATAGGGGCCCGAGTTTTCTCTCGACGGCCCTGCCTTTGTGGTCAGCTGATTAAGTTAAGTGACATTTTGACCAGTTTTGGTTTTTTCTTTTGTTTATTTAAGGTTTATAGTTTTTTTTTATAAAAGTCTAGCATATTATATAATCAGAACCACATAAATCCACATTTAAAATTTCGTACAAAAATTCAGCAAACTTCAACAATTACACCCAAAAATGTACAACTTTTTGTTCAGAATTTTTAGAAACAATCTAGATATGCCCATTAAATTTAAGTAGGTAAAAGTGAAAAAAGGCGCTAAGAAATTTTTTTTTTTGCTGACGGTGCTAGGCATTTTCTTCTTCTTCTTCTTGAATTGGCCCCTACTTCGCTACTTATAATTTTTAATAACTAGTATTTAATATGGACCACACTAAAAGCTCCTTTTCATACAAATATTCGTACGTGTCCCACCCGTGACAGAGGAATTTCGGATTTTTTTATAATAAAGCATACATTTTTGTTGTAGTTTTTGCTTTTTTTGTATTCGTAGTTCTTTGTTTTATTATTAGACATCAAGTTCACACAGAAAAGTGAAATAAAGTCGCAATTTCCGTAAAATATATCTGCTTCAAAAAGCAGGGTCTTTTTTTTGTCCCACCCGTGACAGAAGAAATAACTCAGATTTTTTCATTTTAAAAGTAAGCTGCAATTTTTTTCGTATTTTGTTATAACTAGGGACTTAAAACCTTTAAAAAGGCAAAGGCCTGTAACGTGGCGCCTAATTTAAATATGGAACATTTAAAGCTTTCATATTATCAGGAGTAAGGGCTTTTTTCCTTGCCCTTTACAATTAAAGGTTGAAAAGGCAAAAAAAAGGTAACATCGAATGTGCATGTTTGGAATCAGGGAAAGCTAAATCGTGGACATTCTTAATCGAATATACTCTATCTCTTTAGCAGAAAAAAGGAGTTTTCTATAAAATCCGTTCCCTGATAATAGCTCATATACTTACTAGCCAGTTAGGTGCAGCTTTATCAAAACGCAGAATACTTGAATATAAACAAGAAATAACATTTTTTTTGCACAAATGTCCCACCCGGTGACGATGGAATCGCCCATACGTAAAACTTTCTTTCAACACTTTTATTGAGGTCACTCGGGACCTCATGCGACTAATTGTGTGATTTTCTTTATGCACCTAATTAAGGGATAAAATTAACTGTTCTTTTGAAGAGATGCCTATAAGAAAATAGATTCCGACAAATCGGCATAAAGCTCGCCGTTTAAAGGTTTAACAAGAACAAAAATCCAACCTTTTAAAGCTTTACCATAAAGCAAAATCTTTTAAGATTTAAAATTTTACTTTTTTTTTTTGTTTTTGCAACTTGATTATTCGCAGCCATTAAATTTATTCGTACACGTTTACAAGTATATATTAAAACAAACATCAAAGATGTCTAAAGATGATACTCGTACATAATAAAAAGTTATTGCAAATCTAAATTTATAATTTCATCAACTTTCTGCTCTCCGCCCCAGGATGTGGCTCCACTCGTCATCGCGGCTTTAGCCAATTGGCAGTGGCACGTGCGGCAGTGGATTACATTGTGCTGCAAAGCTCTTCGCTGCATTGCAGGGTTGATCGTCTTTCCACATCTTGGCGGGACAGTGGATGAAGGTTTCAGCGTTTACACAACTGTACATTATGCTGGCAATAGGTGAGCAACCCATCGGCAGTTTGGCGTACGTTTTGATACCCATTGCTGCCATGTGACCCTTGACTGTTGGCAATTGGGAAAAGGAAAAAGTTGTAGGGGTATTTTAAAGGATATGTACAAAATATGCAAGAGTGTTCGTATTTATAAGCGTAGAAGTTGTTGTTGTATTTCAAACTGCTACGTTGCAAAAATAAATACCGAACCAAAAAGAATAGAAATATTAAATTTAATTTCCTTCTTAAGCAAATGTCAGATTTCGTCATGATATCGGCTTATGAATACGCATTTCTTAGTTTTTCTATATTGTTTTTATATTTTGTGGGCTACGTACTATTATCCAGGCATGCCTCGAAAGAGCGCACAATCTGCGGCACCATATCCTTGTCGCCTTGAGTGACACTTTTGTTTAGGAATTTTTTGACATTTTCCAAATTGAATTCATTTTTGACCATAGCACCTGTCTCACGATAAATACACTCCGGATAGCACTGCAACGGCGAAAAGATATACATACATATATTTTAATTCATTGTCAATGAGTTGTTGTATTGCAACTGCGGATCTGCGTAGCATTATTGTGTATGCAAATTATGTACATATGTGAGTGCAGGAAACGACTTACAGCGTGGGCGTAAGCTGGATATTCAACTTCTGCAGCAATCGGAGTACTTTTACTCTTTTCGTTTTTGTTATTTTCATTTTGGCTAATGTTGTCTTTTCCACTCACAATATTCGTTTGCAATTTGAGTGCGTTGATATAAGTATTGCACTTTTTGGGCACTTCACCCAAGTTGATTTCTGGCATACGACAGCAACTGTGAATATTCTGAAGAAATAACGAAATTGAATTTATGTAAAAGATTTCGAGCTTAACTTGTTTGGCCCTAAGCATGTCATTGTGTTCAATTTACTTACAAAACGTCCCAAATCGGGTGGTTCCGAGCAATTGAAGGCCGCAGCGTGGGTGTAGGGCTGAAAGAGAGATATAAAATTATTATTCACTGAGAAAAAATGAGCTAAGTATACCGTCGACGATTGTTACTAAAAAGGGCTTAACGCTCACATGGTTTTTAAGTGTAGAATGAAGCCAAAAGTCGTCTAAAGCAAGTAAGCAAATTACAATAACATTAATAAGCCAAGTATTTAGTTGATAGAATATAATTTTTTAAAGTCTAACTGTTAATTTTCTAATTTTTAAACCGCTTTCCAAGTCCCTATTTTTTTTAAATAAGGCTGTTTAAACAAAAAACAATTAAACGACAAATTCAAAAACAGTTTTAATGCACAAAACGAGCCAAACGGCAAAGTATGCAACAAAAAATTAATTGTTTTTATTATTTTTAACAAATTTTTAAATTTAAATTTTTTGTGCACTTAAAATGTTTTTGATTTTGTCGTTTAATTGTTTTTCTTTAAACCGCCTTATTTAAAAAAAAATAGGGACTTGGAAAGTGGTTTAAAAATTGGTTAAAAATAATAAAAACAATAAATTTTTTTTATTGCATAATTTGCCGTTTGGCTTGCTTTGTGCATAAAAACTGTTTTTGATTTTGTCGTTTAATTGTTTTTTTTTTAACAGCCTTATTTAAAAAAAAATTGGGATTTGGAAAGCGGTTTAAAAATAGGTTAAAAATAATAAAAGTAATTCATTTTTTTGTTGCATAATTTGCCGTTTGAATTGTTTTCTGCATTAAAACTGTTTTTGATTTTGTCGTTTGATTGTGATAAGAAAGTTTCCTAATTTTTTGAATTTTAACCATGGTGATTATTGTTTGTTTAAATTTTCAAGTGGTACATAATGTAACCGGGTTTGCTTTTCTATTATATTATTATCCTTTTCTTCTAAAAATTATTGAACATTGGAAGAAAAATTGCAAACAATTTTTTTTTTTTTTTTTTAAATTATTTTTTTTCAAAAGTAAACTATCTCATCTTAGAACAGCAAAAAAACGGCAAATTTTGAAACTTTATATAAAGTTAGCAAAACACCTTATGTCTAAAAAAAAAATTCCAGAGTGACAAAATTATTTTTTCCACAACTAATTAACGGCAAAAAAACGGCAAATTCATGGGTATATGCGACATTTTTTGCTTGATGTTGTTTCGCTAACTTTATACACATAATAATTCGTATCACCAAAAAATTTATTGGAAACATCAAAGACAGCCCGAAGAAATAGAAATGGCGTCTATAAAATCCTGTTAAAAAATTAGCAGAGTGGAGTTATAAGTATGATTTGTATGCTAAATAAGCCTAAAAATATATACCATCATAACTGCAGGCAAAATTTATAAATCGGAAAACACTTTGCTTATAGCTATATAAAGCTATATATTTTTAGTCTTCTTTTTTTGGCATACAAATCCGAGCTTTATTCATAAGGCACTAACACGTTTTTTACAAAGTGCACATAAATATTTAAACTTTTCTTCACATATCGTTGAATTTTTCGTGACCATTCCTTTTAGACCTCTTTTTTCAAAAAATAAGTGGGAGATGTTGAGTAAAGTCTTCTTTAATCGCCTCTCGCAAGTGCATCGCAGTATACACTTAGGTCTTGTTTTGGCACTATTTTTGATTTACTGGCACAGAAGAAAAACGACTGGCGTACTTTATTTGGCTCGGCTTAGTGTCCGAAAAAACAGCAAATTATAAGTCGAATCTTCTTAGTAACTGATAAGGTGACGCTTTATATTAGCCTCATATAAACTTACAAGTAAAAGCGCAAACAGTATAGTCAAAACGAAAGCGAATTCCATATTCACGAAGCACATAACTATTCACTACCTTACGTGGTTGACAAAATGACAGATTTTGAAGATAGACTACTATTTTCGATGCTTCTGAACTAAATCAAAATTTTTTGCCCTCGGCTTTATATAACCAAAAATTCTCGCGTACTGATTTGACTAATTACAATTGGAAATACCCGAATACATAGCTATGTATGTTCATATGTACATGAATTTGTATAAAAGTAAAAATACATATTTATTAAGGTATGACAGTTATTTTCCAAAAACATATCTACTTAAGAGAGGAAATATGTTTGTTAAATAAAATCAAATACGCGAATTGTATTTACCTTAAAACTTAGTCCTTTAAATGAACAATATGAGTTAAAAATACACCTCGGTTTCTCTGAAAACGGTTTTTTTTGGCTGGCAATGTTTATGTAATTATGCAATGAAAAAACTACTGGTAAAATCCATACCTATAGCTTAGAGTGAAAAATTATGAACATAAAAAGTTCTATAAAGAGAAATGAAATTTTACTTATTATTTTAGGAAAACTTTCTTTTTAATAAAGTCAATACTTGCATAGTATGTATATCTTAAAAACGAAAAAAAAAATAAAATCTTAATGGAAATTTTATATTTTTAGTCATGTGGATATTTTTCTTTGTTCAGGTGGATATTTTTCTTTGTTCTTTGTTTTTAGTTAGGTGGATATTTTTCTTTGTTAACGTAAAAACAACTCTTTTTTATTTTGCTATCTAAAAAAATTCACAAATAATATAATTTTGTTATATTTATACATATGGCACGACCTAATGCTTATATTTTATAATTATTTTTCAGGATGAGATTTTATTACGATATACCATTGTTACGTAACATTGAATACTGTTACGTATGCACATATGTATGTACATACATAATATGTACTGCTTATTGTACATACCTTGCAGGAAAACCCCGAACAAGTGAACCAAATTTCTAGTTCAGTCCGATAATAACTAGATTCCCACCAGTTTAAAAGCAGCTAAATGTAGTTCTACAAAATTATTTTATTTTACATTTTAACCGCCTTCATAAAAAGGAGGAGGTTATTAGTTCGTCGGAATATTTCTTTTTATGTATCTTACCACATAACTTTGAAGCACGTTAACCGATTTCTACAAGTCTTTTTTTAAAGGAAAGGTGGTACCGCCGAGGTGGTCCTATACTAACTTGGTTTAGATGCGATCATTAGATTATGAAGAAATTAACGGTAATCTTAAATTTTTATAAGAGAATAGAAGTCAGTTTTGGTTTTTGTTTTTGCTAGCTTAGAGTGAAAAGTTGCAAAGCCCACTTTTGTAAAAATTATATTTTGATGCAAAAAGCAAGAACAATTAATTTTCTAAAATATTGGACTATGTTATTTCTAACAATTTCTATCCAATGCATTATGGTTCAAATGCCTGTTATTCTGGAAAATATCGCATGAGAAATAAGTGATATTAACACATGGCCACAAAAACGGCCATTTGGACCATAGCGGAGTGATGCGCAAATCTGTCAAACCCAAAATAGTCGCAGAAAATGTGAAAAGCCCCAAAGCAAACAATAACTTTTCATTAACAGCTCTATTCTGCACGTTACCGAAGATTTTGTAACCGGAAAAGTGTATTACCAAAAAATGTTACCAGTACTTGTCACCGCGATTCTAGGTTCGTTGGTAATGCAGTTAAAATATTCAGTAATTCAGCTATGAAGAATTGTGCAGATTCTGGCATTACATATTTTACGGAGCTATACTTTGTTACCAGCTTATGAGATGGTAACAAAATTTACCGGTAACAAGAGTACAGAGAATGCGAAAAGGGTTTGAAAATTGACAGGAACTTTATTTACCGGTTACAAACTTTTTATTACCAGCACAGAATAGACCTGTAAGAATCTGTATGTGAGAGTTTAGAACTGGCTCGGGACTATAGAAAACGGTATGCACAACGAACTAGATCTCATCTGTAGAATTTAGGTTTGGTTTGGAACTATTATAAAAGGGATGCAGCAGGGCACCAAATCAACGTTTGCTTACTTTAAATACATATTTGATTGGCGGTTTCTATGGTTCGCAAACACTTTCGTTCTACACTTCACAGTTGCTTTTTCATAGTTTGGAAATACAAAACATAAATTTGTATCAACTTTTTATTATCTTGCTCCTGGCGGCATTCAAGGTTGGGGCCTTTTAGAATCTAATCAATAAAAGCAAGCACATCCGCGCAATCAGCTACAGCCAACAAATTTCTTTGAAAATAATTTAAAATCGCTAGCATGAGAAAATCAAAAAAAAAACTCTGCTTTCAAAAAATCGCGTTACTTTTTTCGACTGTCAATCTTATTATTCATTCGGAACTATAGAAAAGGAGATGCAGAGCGAAGTCACCTGTCTAATTAAGAACTGGTTCGAACCTCTCAAAAAACGTTTGTAGCGGGGGCAATCGGCGCTTTGTGGGACATCGCAATGGTAAATTCGGTGTAAGCATGCAAAAGAGAATTAAGGCGTACATAATTATAAATTCCCTAGTACGTATCAGCTCAGCACTAGTGCGTTTCTCACAGGGCACAACAAATATTCCGGTCTAATCCTCATTGTTGGGTTGATGAATTTTTTATTAGTTATGTTCTATGTATATCAACAATTCTCAAAAATATTTTTTGACCAACACTCTGTTAATACGAAATTTCGAAAATGTATTAAAAGTATGTACCTACAAACGTACGTACATAAACATTTACATAAGTGCATATACTATACATATGTACATTAGAGTGGTCCATAAAATCTTTTCCCGAGATAGGGTTTGGGGCACCTTCTAAAATTTTTCCTCTTGCCGAAAGAAGTGCTGGTAGCAAACTCTACATTTCTAAGTAGATAATTAGAGGAAGCCCATGAGGCTCATATTTTACTTTAGAAGTAGTGTATACATATAACAGTCAAACAATTGGTTAAGCAACCTAAGAACATTTCAACTTTAAATTATCTAAAAATATTGCATGTCATGGCAACAGTAGCTTTCTATAATAATCACCAATGTTTTTGATAGTTTCAGAGTGATCCAGTAGCGCAGTTCAAGGTCATTGGGCGCACTGTTTAGGTTACAGTAAACAAATGAAATTTGGTATAGATATTACAAATATCGAAAGGAAAAACAAGGGTACGCCGTTTTCTAGGATGACCTTTTTTCCCCATACAAAAATTGGACCACTCTAATGTACATATAGTCATATCACAGCACATTTATAAGCGACGCTTTAAAAGAATGGCAACTGCGGTTGACTTCCCACGGTTCTGACCATCAAAATTTATCACAATATGTTAAATGGAGCGTGTCCGTTGCCAGGTGCATTGCCCCACTTACAGTGAATTTCATTGCCATGAAATCATTGGCCGCAGCAGCATTGTTCTCCTCCTTCCTGGAAATTGGCCCGATTTTTTTTTGGTTGTTGACATTGTGGATTTCAATTTGTAATTGCTTTCTAAGCGTTTGGCCCAATGTAAGCTACATAAAAGCACTGCTGTTAGCATGGTATTCAATTAATTAATAATTGAACAAATAATAAAAAAGCCACGTGCTCTCTTCTTCAGTGATAAATCTTAGCTTTTGCAATCTTTTCAGTTTTAATTTCTATGAATTATACATCATTGCATTTTTGAATCTCCAGTTATGAACGTTGTATTAAGAACTTTAGTGTAATATTTTATTAATATACATATATACATAATTTTTTTGCATAGGTAGAGTTTGATGGCTATGCGATGTCATAAATTGAACAGTTAAAACATGTTTAATTCAATAATAGCTTGGCGCTACAAGAATTAAACTTTGGTCGAGCAATTTCTGACATATCCAACATACTCCTATGCGTTTGTTAAAACCACCGAGAAACTTTCTCCAACAGATATTAAAAACTAATTAATGTAATGGCTAAATGTTTTATGACTAATAGTTATTTGACCACGAAAATGCCATTTATAACAACGAGAAGCATAATGAGACAGAAAATCATTGTGGTTTCAAAAGTGGATAGCTTTTTAAGCTGTGTATTTAAAATGTATACAAGTACTTGCATGTACACATACATACATATGTACGTCTTTTCAATTCTGGATCGTGTGCTTTAAATTTTCCATTACTTTTAACTTCGTGTATCTAATGCTTTACACAAACTCATTTATATTTGATGTAGTGTGGGACGATTTTCCGTCATCCCTTGCCTATAAAATTTGGTTTGGAGATAAACCGGTTCCGGCGTTGTGCCATCTTCAGTGTCATTTTTCGTTCTCTTGTATTTCTTAACGACTTGTTCGTGTCTACTTACTATTTCTCCAATAAAAGCTACTACATACATACTAGTGCTGGTATTTGTGGACTCAGGTGTGTACGTATGTACATACAAACATATGTTTGTGTGTATATCGTTTTTTATCCAACATCATCATCTATGCTTCCCTTTACTCATCTTTATCATTAAGCGAATAACTTAAAGCGCCATTATTTTTAAATCATCGTTATCTTTGGCATTAGTCATTTTGCGGCTGTCACATTGGAATATTATTAGAATTCTAGATGATGAAGGGCAGGTAATGATAGAACATTTTGTGGCAGTGTCGCAGGCTTCACCGCGAGGCAATGCATCTCAAATTAGCTTAAATGCGGCGCGGACGACATTTCATGTAGGGCAATTATGGAGACATCGTTATAAGGTGATACAAGTGGGCTTGGTATTTTTTATTTTTTTTTTTTTTGTGAAAAGCACCGCATTAAGTTTATTCATATTTTATATTTTTATGTTTAAGAGCTTGTGAAACACGCAAGTTATTTTTAATATCTGCGTACACATAGCTGTTTAGCTAGGAATTACCTTTTATTTAACTTGCTCCTCTTGCTTGTAAGTACGCTCGGAATTTTCAAAATGGCTTAACCTTTTGTAGCATTTTCGCCGAAAATGTTTAATAAATAAAATATTTCCAAAAAAAATTCGAAGTGCTTTTTTACGCGGTATGTCGTTTGTTAAAAGTTATTAATGCGCAATATTTAGACCTGTGAAATAAGTTAACCTATTTACTTAAACTATATAGCAAAATTAAATACTATTATGTATACTAGAAAAGTAACTAAAAAAGATGTCCTTCTTATCTTTGTAGGTGCTATAAAGTAGAGAAGAAAAGTATAACTTTTTAAATTTTTATAAAATTTTCACTCAACATGAATTTTTGATATGTACACATCTTAGCTCTATGTCTGGATAAAACTTACGTTAGCCCCCCTGCGAACCAAAGTTCCCGAAATCTTGACGAAATCTTTAGGAGTATCTCATTTCCGTAACGAGTTTTTTTGCGAATCTTCAAAGAAAATTATATGAAGTGGTTGACACGAACTTGTAAAGAAATTTCTGAAAATTCTGCAAAAATTTGTTCAGCAGCAATATTTTCCTACCTTTACCGATTTTCTTCCGAAATTTTGTAAAAGAATCGAAGTATGCACAGTTTATTAACCGGCTTCACAAAAAGGAGAAGGTTATTAATTCGTCGGAATATTTTTTTTTTTTATTTTTTTTTTTATGTTTGTTACCGCATAACTTTGGACCACTTTAACCGATTTCCATATTTTTTTTTTAAAGCAAAGGTGTTACCTCACAGGGAAATTAACGGTAGTCTTAAAATTTTATATGAAAATTGAAGTCGGTTTTTATCGGAAATTATTATAGTATTAAAAAAATACCAAAATGTGGAGGAATAAAATACAATGCTAGTAATGGAAAATGCTGCAGGAAGTGCCTGAAATCCAGAGCTTGGAGGAAATGTCTATAAAAGGGCAGAACATAGTAAACACGTTATTTTTGCATGTGCGTACAAATAGAAAGGAAATAACCGAAAACTTTACGCAAGAACTAAACAACACCTCCAGCGGTGTAAGCTAACCAGTGTTACCGCTGAAAATTTTTCGAAAGTCGCAAAAAAAGTATCACAGCTGAAAAAAAGTTTATTCAAGTCATTCAAATCGTGTATACCATGTATTTACAGACTTTCGTTATTTTACCTTTCGAAACTTATTAGGGCATAGTCATAATAAAATCATAGTCGAAATAAAATCGACTCTACAGTTAGTTTTAGCTTTTTTTAACGGAAAATCTGCCAAAAAACTGCTTAGAGTAGACTTTATTTCATCTATCACTATGGGGCATAATAAATTTGTTAATGGAGATCATCATTTTCTATCAAAAATTCATAGTTTTTTCTCTTAAAATAATGACCTATTGATGAGGGATATATTAAAAAGACGCAATACGCATATCTTGCATTTAGCATGAAAACAAAATTGCAGTTAATGAAAGTACTTTAATCATTAAATAAATAATAAATTTAACACAAATAAATTGGGGGAAATGCTAAGCTACAAAAACGGTGCATTAATGCATGCTACTTCTGGACATTTATTCGGAAAATATTTGACATAATAAAAAGGTTGAAATCAGTCAAAATCTGGCCAGAGGTGTAATTTTTAAGTGCCTTTGAAAAGTAAATACTAAAAGCATTTTTAAACACGGAAAAAATATAATTTATGAAGAAATTGCCGAAATGAGTATATAGAATTTTAAACCAAAGAAAAGTCGCATGATTTTTTGGAAAAGTTTCAAAATAAGCCTATTTTTAAAAAGTCGGTGTCAGGGGGCATCGATCTCCAAAAAGTGTCAATTTGACACTTTAGTCGCACAACGGTAACACTGAAGATAACCGCATAAAACCAAATAGGAAAAATGTCGAAAATTGGTGGATAAATGCATTTAGAAACCAGTAAAGAAGTATAAGTTCGGGCGAAACCGAACTTTATATACCCGGCGCGCGTACGAAGTATCTTTTTTCCAGCAAGCGTATTTTACCCGATGTCTAACAGTTTCGATATGCTATGAGATATTGAAATAATTGGAGCAAGTTTGGTGGAAGTTGATAAGGGGCTACCAATATATATTTATGTATGCATGTAGTCAGAAGTAGGTGGTGCCACGCCCATTTTACAAAAATCAATAATATTGTGTCTTGTTAAGAGATTGTTGTAAGTTGGCGTGTTTAGTTATTGAAACATCGGAATTTTCGTATATCTGAAAATTTACCGTTGTATGGTAGGTGGCGGTAATTTTAGTCCGATTTCAAAAATTTTCAACTTATCGCTTTTTTGAGCCTAGCTAAATAAATGTACTGAGCTTGGTATAAATTGAAAAACAGGTAACCGAGATACACATATATAGGCGTGAGTGGGCGGTGCCACGCCCATTTTCCAAAAAATATCCCGATTTTGAGTAAATTAACTTAAATAGTTACTAATTTATCGCAGTTTTCGTATGTCTGTAAATTACCATTATATGGGAGGTGGACGTGGTTCTTCTTTGATTTCAAACATTTTCAAAGTGTTTGTAAGTGAGGATCTAAGTAATGTTTGTACCGAGTTTGGCGGGGATTGGTGAAGGAACTACAGATATAGGGCATTTCATAACTGTCTTATTTTATGCCGAAATTCTACTTCGCGTATCAACTTTCAACTTTACGGAAATATCGCAGTTTTTGCATATTTCGCAAATACCAATATATGGGAGGTTATTGTCCTATGTCGATGTGTTTTCAATCCCAACCTAACTTGGGAAAAGGGAAACTTTTTCACCAAATTTCGTGGACATATCTCAATTTTTTCTCGAGTTATCGTGTACATGGACAGACAAACGGACAGATAGTCACCGCTTAATCGATTTTTCTTTTCATTCCGAGCATTTATGTATATATATTTGTCTATATCTATCTCGATTCTTTTTGACTATGACAAACAACCGTTATGTGAACAAAGTTATAATACACTTGTGCACAAGTGCGCTCGGGTATAAAAATCGACTATAAAACGATAGGGCATGTAAGTATTCAGTTGTTACAGTTCTAGGTGCTTATGTACGTACATATGCGACCATTGGTGTTCGTTGTGTTTGCCTTTTGTGTTTTTCATTGTGGCAAAAAACTTGAAATACTCTTATATCGAAAAAGTTTTTCAATTTAGACGAATATATGCATCTATGAAGTTAGCACTCTCCCAGCATACATACAAATGTATGCATGTTTACATACGTATACATATGAACATACGAATACCGTTGTGTAAGCACATAGCAAATTTTCCATAATAACAACACGTCATCTTAATTCAATTAAACTTTGTCCGATCGCCTGAAAGTACATATGTACGTATGTATTTGTACCATATACATACCCTACTACCCTACAAGACATTGCTGAGCACTTTAGGCAAAAATTCTCACACATTTACACTTTTGTTTTTGTAGTACGGCATAAATGAGTAGTTTGACTATTAGTACTGAGGACTTTCTGATGACAACATTGAGGGGAAAGTACTCAATTTTTTCCCATGGCCTGAACGAAAATGAGGACTTTGATAAGCACTTTTGTGATTAGGGGTAATGATAATATGAGTACTCATATGATACTCAGCTGTCTTGTAGGGTATGTTTTTGGGTAAATACATGCATAGATCCCATTTCGAAGATTTGCATTCTCGATAGGTACATATGTTTGTAAGTTTAGATATATGCATGCTTCTAAATACAAAAGCTCCCATGGCAAATTAAAAAATTTCGCTAACTTTTAATAAACATTCCGTTATTCTCAGATAGTAAAGCCTACAGCTAATCCGATTTATTGAATGGAAATCATTGTAAGAAAATACGTCCTTGTTTGGAATTATAATTATTATTAGGGGAACTCGCACTTCTGTGTATTCGTTGTATTGTGTGTAATTGTGACTGCATGAGAGGATGATTTGTTGTTGCTAGCGGTACATCAAATACACATGCAACAACAACCACACGCTCGTCAAGTTACACTTACGCAGGATACAGCATATACACAGAAGCGCGAATTCCACTATTAATTAGTTGTTGTTATTTCAATTTTAAATACCACGTATGTACATATGTATGTATAACGGAGACCTGCCTCTTCCTCTGATACCCCAGCGGGATCCTAGTTGAATACTCTCAAGGCTGGACCGTTTGTGTCCATTCGAACGACATGGCCAAGCCAGCGAAGCCGAAGTAAAATAAATAAAGTAATTTTTTTTTTTAATATACCACGCTTTTATAAATGGACTAAAAATTAGAAAATAATATTTTTTAGTCCCATAGAATTGGTTTTGATAACTTTTGATTTTAAAATTTTAGCAAAACTCATTACAAACAATTTATGAGATTGATAACTAAAAACGTGGAGCGCATGCAATACAAAGCATTAGATTTAATTGACAATAGTCAAACTACATAACATAAATAAAAAAAAAACTACAGCGAAAGTAGAAATGGTAGATCGATTTTAAGCGGTCGTTCTTCATATACCCACATTAGGGTGCCCATGAAAATGTTTTTTTTTTTTTAATTTCAAGACCCTGCACCCTTATTTTATTCGTTTTTATGAGAAATATTATTGCCTATTTTTGTAAATTTTTTAAAGGCCATTTAGAGGTCGCGACCAGTCGATTTAGGTCGGAAAGTAGGATCTTGTAGATTTATGAGTTTTTGAATGACTAGTTTTGATTCGATTTCAAAGATCGAATATGATAAAGGGGGTGACCCTAGGATTATTCTATATCAAAAAATATATTTTGAAATCAAAATGTATTCACAGATCACTGAAAGCGCTCAAAGTTGTCCATGTATTTTATAAGGGGAACTTTTCGTAGAAATGGTATAGAACTCTTGAAAATTAATACTTTTCGATCGGAAAGCTCTGGTTCTCCTCAGGAGACTTCCAATAAAAATACTCAATTGTTTATTTAACCATTTTTTAATATTAACGATTTTTTATTGGTCTTTCCCACTGCATTTTCTGAGTATACTGGCGGACCACTAAAATATATCTACTATGAAAACATTGTTAAATAAAAATTTGGGTATTATTATTAGGAATCTCCTGAAGAAAATCAGAGTTTTGTGATCGAAAAATATTGAGTTTTAAGAATTCCTACGAAAAGGTGCTTTTCTCCCACATAAAATACATGGAAAATTTTGAGCTCTTTGAACGGCCTCTAACTATTTTTTGATTGCAAATTAAAAAAATACGGTTACATATTTNTATACCATTCCTACGAAAAGGTGCTTTTCTCCCACATAAAATACATGGAAAATTTTGAGCTCTTTGAACTGCCTCTAACTATTTTTTGATTGCAAATTAAAAAAATACGGTTACATATTTTTGGAATAGAACAATCCTAGGGGGGAGAGCATAAAAATTCCGACTTTAATTTCTAACGTGAATTCTTTTGGACCACCCTAAATTATATATGTTAACAATTTTTTTAATTTAATGAATTTTTTACTGCAAGGCTGGGTTTGGTAGGGCCTATTGGCCCATAGATCCTGAATGCGGCACTGCTGTTAGCCGACCCGCAACTGCGGCTAGGTCCCCTATGCTTAGCAGGAGGAGATCCTTCGACCGCTTTTTGTTCCATTAACAACACGTAAACTTCGTATTGGCGCAAGTGATGAGACTAGACCACCTGTCACTTGCTTTTTTAATAGACAGATCTCTTATAATGGGCTTACCGGCTGCGAGCGGCATGCAAAATCCCTTCCAGGCCTGCGAAAGTGGAACGGATGTGCCTTCTCTTGCACGTTTGTCTGCCTTTTCATTGCTTGATATGTTCCGGTGGCCCGGAAACTATACCAAGTGAATAGCAGACTGCTCAGACATATTGTTTAGCGAGCTTAGGTTTCTGAACTGCATGTGACCGAGTGGAGCGCTTGGAGTGCGGCCTGCCTGTGCTCAACCGCCTCTTGTATAGCAGCGACTTCAGTTTTAAAGAAGCTGTAGTGGTTCGGTAAGCGAAATAATATTCCAGTCCCAGTCGGGCTGAGAAGACCCCCCTCCTGCCTTGCCGTATAGCTTATAGAGGCGATGTTATCTCTTTTCATGAGGAACTCCACAGAGGCAGAGCATCGCAGTTCTTTGCACCTTTTGAGGAGCTTTAGTTGCAGATTTCCTGTTGAAGCTTGGCCACCATACCAAGACCCCATAGAGTTGAATAGACCTAACAACCACCGTATATAGCCAATAGCTACGCCCAATCGCCCCAATAGAGCTGTAGAGAGCTACCGTTGATTTTTTAACACGCTCTTGTATATTTTTCCAGTTTAGGTTTTTGTCCAATACTAAGCTTAGATATTTTGCGGACTCCCCTAGCTTCAGAATCTTGTTTCCTGTGGCAGCGAGCTGAAGTGAAGGGATTTTGTACTTCCTGGTAAAGAGCACCCGCTCAGTTTTGTCTAGGTTAAAACACAGGCCTTTCTTATTGGTGCATCTTTCAATTAACTCTAGTCTGTCCCGCATGATATCACGCAGAGTTTGTGAAAATTTTCCACTCACAACCACCGCAAAGTCGTCAGCGCAAGCGATGACCTTGGGGCCTTCCGCCCACTCTCCCCTTCCAGGGTTTGAAATAATTCATTAATTGCCATGACCCATAAAAGGGGGGACAAACCGCCAGTTCCGCCCGCACGACCCTGCCTACTGGCAGCTGTGAGTCGATGCCCAAACCCATTAGAGCTGATGTGATGGCTTCAGGTGGGATGCTGTTGAAAGCATCCTTAATGTCTACGATTGCTATCAAGGTGCATTCCTCTATCCCTACGGATTTCTAAATTCTGCGACACGATTTCGCACAGCGCTGTTTCGGTGGAATTCCCCTTCAAGGCTTAATATACTAATTTTTCCATTCTGAGCATTTATGCACATATACATTTGTCTAAATCTCCTATATCTCGATTCGTTTTTGCTGTTACGAACAACCGTTATGTGAACAAAGTTATAATACGCTTTTGCACAACTTCGCCCGGGTATAAAAAATTGTTAAATATCACGGTTGCCGCATTTGGTCACTTGTGACCAAACTAGGCAACTTTTCGAGTGCTTGGTAAATTGTCAGCTTCTTTTTTTAGTTTGGTAACTTTTCGTAAGTTTTCCGTGTATAAAGTCATACTAAAAATGTTGGATTAATTTAATAAATTGCCCTGTGGTTGTGGGTAGGGGTGACCACACTACTAGAAAAAATTACGTTAGCTCTTATTGACAGATCTTTGATCCATATATAAAGGCAATGAAAAAATGACGATTGAGCAGCAGTTTGTGCGGTGTATTTGGGCTAGGGCTGATGATACCCGGGTATTCGGATACCCGGATATTATCCGGGGCTTTTATTACCCGGATAGCCGGCTATTACCCGATTTTCCCGCGTACACGGGTAATATACATATGTTCGTGCCGGTTAAACGAAAAACGCCCGGGTAATGCGACATAAAGCTTCTTGTATAATATTTTTGGTGAGGATAAATATGTTTTCAGTGGGAAAATTTTTCTGAATACATTTTTATTATGTTTAGAATGTACGCGACACCCAACCGCTAGCGGGAGTAGACGCAGACAAGAAAATAAATTAAAACATTAGTTTCTGTACTTAAATTCAAACTTCTAATATTTGTAAATGCATATACATACATGCAAGTGTACATATGTATATATATTTTAAAGAATATTAAATATTAATATTTTAAAACAGGGACCGAGAACAAAATGTATGATCGAAACTAAATGTTGTTCTCGAAGTTTTGTTCCCAAGAACTCGTCAAAACCAAAACAAAACTAAGAACAAAACCCTGTGGAACGTTCCCAGAGAGAACAAAATGCGAACAGTACTTTCGGCAACATTTCTAAGAGAACAAAATGCTAACAAATTTCTCCTGAACGTTTTGGCAAAAAAAAACGGGAACAAAATTCTAAGGAATTTTCTCTCGAACAACAATTTGGGGGCTAAAGTCCCAGGAACTTTCTTACAGAGAACGAAAAAGGAACAAATATTCGATGAACTATGTCATAGCGTTCCATTACTTTGAAATGTTTGAATATTAAAGTTAATAAAAACAAAAAAAAAACTGAAAGATAATTATGCAAATGAAGTTAACGAAAGACTTAAGACACGAAGTTTTCTTTCACAGAAAATTAAAAAAATGTTCCATAAATGGGCAGTTCACTATATTGATAAACGATCTGGAAGTTGAAATAATCCTGCTTTCCTCTGGCTTAGGATAACATCCGTGGTTCACACCGAAACAACTTTTCTTCCGAACTCGGAGACGCCCCTCTCATTCTTAACGTTAAGTTCTCAAAACTTTTGTTTATGATTTCATTAATAGTACACACATGGCGTATGAGTATGGAAGATTCTTATAGATTTTCCCTAGTACGTTCGTTTTAGAGGTTTACGCCGACATGCTTTGCGGCGGCGGCGTGGTCAACTTGAAAAAGAATCGGAGGCGGCGGCGACGCCGGCGCGTCTGGAAACGCCGGCGCTACTGCCCATAAGGTGGATTCCAAAGAGACATGAAACTACTAATCTTATCATGTGATCTCGTCAGCGTTAGGCATTGGCCATGCCAATTCAGATTGTAATTGTATTTAATTAATTCATTGAATTAGTTTTAAATTAAAATTACGTTACTTTCTACTTGAATTAAAATGTTGAGTGTCTGCCGCTGATGGATGGGAAAACAGAAGAAAGTCCAACGCATATAAATACATCTCCATGTTCTCTACAAATCCGTACGTACTATTTAAATTTAAAGAAATAAAAAAATTTAAAAAGTTAAGTTATTGTCGCTATTTATGTCGCTATTAAAATTTTTGCAATAATCTTATCATCCGTTATGTTACATTACGGAGTTGTTTCGATTTTTTGCGGTTTGATCAACTTCCACCAGAACGGGCCTTTCTGACCCACTGTTTAAAAAATGGCTTATAGGTGGTTAAAATATCAACTAAAATATTAAGCGCCAAATTTTTCTAAGGAGAACTGAATGTAATGAAAAATAATAGCAATTTTTACGAAAAAGGGGGACTTTAACCCTGTGTAGAAGACACTGCGATGCGCGCTAGCAAACGCTTCCTGGGATTTGACCACCACTTAGGAATAGGGCTTCCAACTATACTTAGCTATGAAGTGCCATATTGAGGATAAAANGACACTGCGAGGCGCGCGCGCGTTTGCTAGCTTCCTGGGATTTGACCACCACTTAGGAATAGGGCTTCCAACTATACTTNCTAGCAAACGCTTCCTGGGATTTGACCACCACTTAGGAATAGGGCTTCCAACTATACTTAGCTATGAAGTGCCATATTGAGGATAAAAAAGTGCCAAAATGTGCCAAATAGAAAAATAAAAGTGACAAAAAAGGTGCCATCCTTTTTAATCCTTCCCATTTAGCATTCAAATTAGAATCACATATCTAAAACAAAAGTCCAATGCCAAAGTAAGATAAACCAGTCGTATACACTATATAAATTAGAAATTTTTAGTTGAGAAAAAGAAGTACACGCAAAGGATTTCACAAAAATGTACTGAAATATTACTATTTTTCAAAAGTGCCATTTTGGCACTTTGTGCCAAATTGAAAAATTAAGTGCCATTTGAAGTAAAACAGGGCCAAAAATGGCAGCCCTGCGTAGGAATGCTAAGGTAATTTTCACACAGCCACCTAGTACTTGTATACGTCTGCGGGACCCCAGAATAAAAGAACTTACGAATGTAAAAATTAGCAAAAACAGTGTTTGCTTTTTATTAAGTGTTTAAAATGTTAACAAAAAAAATACACAGGAAAATCAACTTGTCTCCAATAATTAAGGATTTAGATGCAATAAGGGCGCTTCTGTTAAAACAGCTTTCTGAGATATTGGCGTTAAAGTTTTTGATGTGTTATAACTTTCTTGTTGTTGTAGTATATAAAAAAGTAGTATTGTTGTAGTATTGAAAAAAGTACGAGTATTCGAACTTAATTTAACTGTAATAAACGCTTTCGATCAAATAACGTGTTACCTATGTTTTTTCTAATTTACGCTTTTTTGGAAATTATGCAAAAAAACTCCTTTAAAAATGTAATTTTCTTTTCGTAAAATATTGTTTTTTTATACGAGCAGTATTTAGTTCCTTCAAACGATGTATTTCAATGTGTATACATCATGAAAATTTTGTACAAAATTCCTTAGGCACCGAACGCCGCCGCCGCGCCGATACACTGAACCAAAAATCCATCTCTGGATCAAAGAAAAACTTTCCTTACTTTAAGGTAGAAAATTCTTCCGAATGAGTAAAAAATTCTCCCGAATGCGTAATTTTTCTTTGGAATGTGTAAAAACGTACACGAAAATATGGAACCGTGGATGTAATCTATCATTTTGAAGAAATGTTGGACATGAAAAGAGGATAAAACTCCTTTAGTGCTGTTTCATTCCCATTTTTCTTAATTTTGATTGCTGTTTTTCTTCAATTAAGAGAAGTTTTTTTTGGTGTATTTACGTAACTCGGCGGCGGCGCGTGAGAAATGGCAAACACGTTTATAGAGATTGAATACAAATTTATTTATATTCGTATGTAAATGTATCTAGTTATTATATGGGGCCTTGACCGCCAGACAAGCTTAACTGACATTTCGAAAAAAGTTGATGTGCGCCTAAAAA